TAGGATTCAGCCAGTTTGCACCACTTCGGGAGAACCGGTTGTTAACTTTCTGAGCAGTTTGGCAAACTAGTTGTTGGAAGAAATCATTAGGGCAGAGAACCGGTTGTTAAATTACTTGAATCCCACCACTGAGAATAACTTGGAAGTTCTGTTAGGATTGTGAAGTGTTTGTTCTACTTCAGGATTTGGGGAAAGTTTCAGCTTCATTTAAAGGAAGTCATCTGTCTTAAACCAATTGAAAGACTATGTCACACTCAAAGCCTAATTTTGCAGTGGGCGATGTTGCTTTCCTAGCCTGAGACACACAACCAAGAGCAAAATGGACCACCAGAAACAGACAGTCACAAAGAGGCAAGAGAACAGATAACAGATCAGTAGCCAGTCACTGTGTCTCATTCCTTTCCAACAGGTTGTGTGGTTGTGGCTAAATCTACAAAAGGAAAGGATAAATACATTGCCTTGAGCATCTGTAGGAAAGCGGGGATAGAACTCTAAGAATAAATAAATATTTTGTACAGGAGAAATTATACGTGGTCCTTGACTTAGAGCCATTCGTTTAATGACCGTTTGAAGTTTCAACAGCACTGAAAAAATCATTGATGACCATTTTTCACCCACATGATCGTTGCAGCTTCCCCATGGACATGTGATCAAAATTCAGACATTTGGCAGCTGATTCATACTTATGACGGTTGCAATGTCCCAGGGTCATGCAATCCCCTTTTGTGACCTTCTGACAGTCCAGGATTCCAGCCTCCAAGGGTATATTTAGGGAAAGCCAACAAACTAAAATTATGATTGGTAATACTGAAATATATCTGGGTATCTATGAGTAAGCCAGCTTCCATGTTTCACAAAGTCTTAACTGTTGGATTTCCCTTCAGACTGAATTATCAAATGGATTTGGTGATCTCTCATCAAAGTAAAAGAAATTGGATCTGATAAGATAGACTTCAGGAGAATACACTCTTTGGAAAGAAATACAGGTAGTCCTTGCTTTACAACCGTTCATTTAGTGACTATTCAAAGTTACAATGGCACTGAAAAAAGTGACATGACCATTTTTCACACTTGTGACCCTTAGAGCATCCCCATGTTCACATCAACAAAATTCAGACACTTGGCAACTGATTCATATTTATGACGGTTGCAGTGTCCCGGGGTCATGTGATCATCTTTTGCAACTTTCTGATAAGCAAAGTCAATATGGAAGCTAGATTCATTTATCAATCAATCAATCAATCAATCAATCAATCAGAACAGAGCTGGAAGGGACCTTGGAGGTCTTCTAGTCCAACCCCCTGATCAAGCAGGAGACTGGTTGAGCAGGTTGTTACTGACAATCCTGTTAGTAACTTAATAACTGCGGCAAGAAAAGTCGTAACATGGGGCAAAATTCACTTAACAACTGCCTCATTTAGAGACAGAAATTTTGGGCTCAATTATGATCGTAAGTGGAGGATTTCCTGTACACCCAGTTTTTTAAAAAAAAACAGTGGAATAACTTGCTTCCCAATCACTGGAGAATTTGAAGAAAAGGTTGATCAACTAATAAGGACTCCAGCCATGGGCAGGGGCTTGGATTAGAAGATCTCCAAAATCTCTTCCAGTTTTATGATTCTATGATCTACAAACTCTGATCTCACCAAGGGAATGAACTCTGCTTAAAGAGCTCAACAGTGCGGGGTTCTTGGTGCTCTCTGAGCTTGGTTGGGGTTTTTTTGTTTGGTTGTTTTTTTTTTTTTGCAGATCTTTCATTACCAACTAGGTAACCTCATGATAATGTTGAAGGAATGAAACGTCTGTAAGAAAACAACCAAGCCCACTGAGCACCAAAGACCCACAGTTCAACCCTGAGCTACAATATTCCCTTCTACTAGAGCTCACTGGTACTAGCAAACTGCGGCAGCATTTTTCTATTTTAACTACTCTTGAAAAAAACTAAGCAAGACTGGACCATTTAATATATTGACGAAAGACCGATAGGAAATACCAAGCTATAACCTAGATTGGGAATTCGAAAAAACATCCCGAAAATCAACAGCAAGCCACTATTATTGTTGCAAGAAAAAATCTACACAGCCAGGACATAGAGTTGCTAAGACCTGAGCACCATTGAGGAAGTCTTTATTTTTCTATACATAAACAAGTTTGTTGTACTATTGGTTAAGACATTGGACTTGTCGACCGGATCATTGGCAGTTCAAGACTCAAACACTGCGTGATGGGATGAGCTCCCATTCCTGCCCCAGCTCCTACCCACCTAGCAGTTCGAAAGCATGCAAATGCGAAAAGATCAATAGGTACCACTTTGGTGGGAAAGTAACAGTGTTCCATGCACCTCGGTGTAGAGTCATGCTAGCCACATGACCACAACAATGTCTTCGGTCAACGCTGGTTCCCTCGGCTAGGAAATGGAGATGAATACCTCCCCCTAGAATTGGACATGACTGGACAAAGGAAAACCTTTGTCTTTTTCTTTTACCTGACAGCTGAGCAACTTTCTTCTGCTACATGTTTAGGCAAAAACTTTTCAGGAAAGCCAAAAATATCTCATTGTCTACAACTCGACATTCGTTTTTTTACAGTGTACAATTCAATATGGGATCAGGAAAGATAAGAAGGAAATCCAGATCCATTAAAATCAATTGCATTTTCCTCCCATGGATTTTCATTTGCCTTCTGGAAAATATGACATTCATCCCTTAAATGCTTCACAGGTGCCTCAGAACAAGTGTCATTGCTTTAGTTTCAGTGGAGAATGCTGCAGTATGAATATTTTCCACCTAGAAGGAGTTGATTCTGCCACCCCTTGTCTATCATCCCTCTATTTCTCTCTCTAAAATAAAATAAAATAAAATAAAAATAAAACAATCCCTTTTTTAGCTTATAATAGACAACATCTGTTCAAGATAACCATCTACAGGTAATCCCCGATTTACAGCCATTCATTTAATGACCATTTGAAGTTACAATAGAACTGAAAAAAATGAACTATGACTGTTTTTCACAATTATGACTGTTGCAGCATCCTCAAAGTCATGTGATTAAAATTCAGATGCTTGGCAACTAGCATATATTTATGATGGTTACATGCCCCGGGAATCCGAGATCATGTGGTCACCATACGTGACTTCCTGACAAGCAAATTCAACAGGGAAGCCAGATTCCCTTAACAACGGATTACTAACTTAACAACTGCAGTGATGCACTTAACAACTGTGGCAAGAAAGGTCATAAAATGAGGCACGTTACTGTTACTTTACTGTCTTGGAAATTTTGAGCTGAATTGTAGTCATGTACACAAAATTTGTCCTGTGTGAGTGTTGGTTGTTTTGACATTCTTCTCTACCTGGCCATACAGGTGAAAAATGTTAAACACTAAGGCTGAAGAAGCCCTGTCCATAGATAAGCCCCTGGCATATTTATTTTTTCCCATTGTTTCACTTTTAGAGTACATCCCACAGCCAATTTAAAGGGGGGAAGAGGGGAAGGGGGAGACAGAAAGATGAAAGCATCCATAACTAAGTTTCATAAGAAGGGGCAAGGAAAAAAAGGAATTGCCTTCATTTTTGACTAAAATAAGGCAATGTGAGAAGATGTCAAAGAGGGGAGCTGGCACAATTGGAAATTTCAAAAACTTTTATAAGAAGACTATGCTATGATATTTGTCTCAATGGGGTTTCTGAGGGTTAAAAAATCACTTGTGGATTGTGCCCAGATTCAGCTGACTTTGATCTAAAGTGCTGGGCCTAACAATACTGAAGAAAGACGAATCCAGACTTCCAACAATGTTGGACTTCAATTCTACCCTCTCAACTGATGGTGGGGGTTGTAATCCAAAACATCTCAGAGTCAACAAAGTGAGAAAACAAAACTAGATTCATCTCTCTTATTTTCAGCTATAAAAAGCATGTTTATATAAATACAAGTATTTATAAATATAAATAGCCTTTAGCCTGCAAATTAATTTTATTGAAGGATCTTACTTTCTCCAAGAGGAGTGTCATATTTTTGCAATTTACCTCCAAACCATTCTCATGGAAAAGATTTTTTTTCAATATATTGAACCTAGTTTAGTATTTTTGTTCTATTTTTCTAACAAGTGCAAGGTTTAAGATATTAGATTGACTCCTGAATTGTATTGCTGATGGAGTATCTTTGCAAGTCATATTTCAAAGAGACAGTTTGCGCTAGTAGTTTAAAGTGTTGGACTAGAACAGGGGTCTCCAAATTTGGTAACTTTAAGATTTGTGGATTTCAACTCCCAGAATTCCTCAGCCAACATGGCTGGCTGAGGAATTTTTGGAGTTGAAAGCCACAAGTTTTAAAATTGCCAAGTTTGGAGACCTCTGGACTAGAGGCATAAAAACTTGAGTTTGAGTCATGCCTCAGAGCCAATTTTGACAAGTCACTTTCTCTCTCTCATTGGAGATGCTGAGAAAGATGTGAGGAGGAGAACCAAATGGTAACCTTTTCCTCATTCACAAGAAATGAGGGGACTGGGGACTCTGGATCTGACCCACCCTATCAGCCCAGAGCCATTGAAGTGCAGTGAGGAAGATCCTAGGCTGAAGCTGGGAGACTCTGGGTTCTAATCCTGCCTTGGGCATGAAAGCCTTCTGGCCATTGTAGGGTCAGTCCTTCTCTCTCAGCCCTAGGAAGGAGACAATGGCAAACCACTTTGGAAAACATTGCCTAGAAAACAGCATGGACATACCTGTATAGTCATAAGACTGACCTGAAGGCACACACACACACAAATTTCTACCCAGATATTTTAGATCCACAAAAAAGTTTTATGCTCACCACAAAATAAATTTTGAGGGAGTGGATGAGGGCCATATCAAAAAAGCATTCTATTGACAGGTTCCTCTGTTCCCTTTACTCATCCATACCAAACCATATTCTACCGGCGGCCATTTTGCTATAGGGGAATGGCACATAAGCTTTACTGGGTGCATCCCAAGTGTTTAACCCCATTATAATTTTTTTTTCACCTGAAATGACTGAGATTGTTTTCAGCGCCCGGAGAACTCTGAATGTTCGTAAGGCTGAGACATTGCCCAGGTCCACAAATTCAGTTATGTATCTGTAAACAAGGAAAGTTTCAGACAAGAAGAAGAAGACCATGACAGCAAAACAAGGACAGCAAAAGAAAGAAAAGAAGAGAAAGAAGGGGAGGGGAGGACAGGGAAAAAAATAGTCACTTGAGGCTGAGACCAGATATGTTATTATCAGGGCTTCTTACCTGGTTTAAATGAAACAGTTTTTATTTTATTTTTTTTTTAAAAAGCTGTCAGTAGCCTAACATTTCAAAGTATGAAATTTTTACCTAGTCTGGTCAATTTTCTTACAAACCTGTTGAATTAAGCCAAAATTATTTGGAAACACTCAGCAAGGTACACATAGCTAAGGACTGCCTTAAATTGTCTTAAAATGGGTCAGGCTTGTCTTGAAATAGTATCAGGTCTCCTGCTCATGGAGGAGTTGGACTAAATGACCTCCAAGGTCCCTTCCAATTCTGTTATTCTATTATCTTACAATTGATGCGCTGATTATCAGAATTGGGTAAAGGGTTTTTCTGTCTTGGCAAATCTCGGCTGCATTGATTTCCTGCAGCTCAGCTGCTAAAATATTTGTGCATTATGTATATTTCTCTTCTATGTTTTGGATGCTGGATTAGCCCACACAAACCATTCTGTCTTCCACCTATTTAAAACAGATTCATTTATTGTATTTCAATATTCCATTTTCTTCCATGGTGAAGCTCAAGGCAATTGCATAGAATTCTTAAGGGGGTCTCCTATGCAAAGATCTGTTTAATTGGCCACCATGAATTACACATATAATTTCTTCTGCAGATAAGCAGAAGGAAGATCAGTAGTGCTAGGTGATTTCTCTTGCTTGCCCAACATTACAGGTAATCCTTGATTTATAACCATTCATTTAGTGACCGTTCAAAGTTACAGTCAGAGATTTATGGCCATTTTTCACATTTACGACAGTTGCAACATCTCCATGGTCACATGATCAAAATTAGGATGCTTGGTAACTGGCATATATTTATGATGGTTGCAGTATCCAAGGGTCACATGATCATTTTTTGTGACCTTCTGACAAGTTAAAGTCAGTAGGGAGGGCAACAACTGCAGTGATTCATTTTAACAACAGGGCAAAAAAAGTCGTAAAATAAGGCAAAACTCACTTAACAACTCTTTTGCTTAGCAATGAAAATGTTGTGCTCAATTGTGGTCATAAATCGAGGACTACTTGTATTGAACTTCTCGTTGAAGAACATTAGATATGTAGAAAATCCGAGAATAATGAAAGTGAAAACCAGTATTGTATTGCAAAAACATAAAAACCATCACTTAAGTCTTGCCCTTGCAACAGGAATGAGGCAAAGTGACTGGAAAAGATTTTTGGATCAAGGTAATTGTAAATAGGAAGCTTACTACACAACAAAAAGGAATTAAATTTCCCCAGCTCTCACCCCCAGTCTGCCTGAGAACACAGGTTCGTGAACAAAAAAAAACTCTGTTTCAAAATTCTTCTATTATATAGGGAATATGTCTAAAGCTGTGTATGATGTTAAAAAGACTCTAAGCAGCTACAGTCTATATATAACTTGATAAACCTATATTTTACACATTTTAAATATCAAGAATTGAAGAGGTGGAGGCCAAACAAGTCAAAATAATACATGAGTTTAGGGATTTGTAGCTGCTATGAAAGTGAAAAGAATGAGGAAACTTTTATGAATCTTTTTATATTATAATGCACTTTCCAACATTAGAACATAACTGAATTTCTTCCAGATTGTTAGGGATTTAAAGATTCCTAGGAAAGGATCTAAGTTTTTGAAGTTAAAAAGGAATACAGGAAGTCAGTTCATACCAAATCAGTTAATACCTTTGATCTTTTTACCACAGTTTCTCAGTTACAATAAAACACCATATTAATGAAACAAACAAAGTGTTAAAAAGTTATGATATTTACATAGTTACTTACCAAGCATATCTAAATTATATTAAAGTAACCAAAATATCTTTACAATCCCCAAGATTTGTCACAACTTTTGAGCACCACTAATGTTTGGAAATTGAAAGTTGAAAAATTTGATACGCCCTAATTATAGTGACTACAAGTAGTTCTTGACTTACATCAGTTCATTTAGTGACAGTTCGAAGTTATAATGGCACTGAGAAAAATTACTTATAATGATTTTTCACACTTATGACCATTATAACATTCCCATGGTCACGTGATTCAAAATTCAGACAAATTCTGACTCATATTTATGATGGTTGCAATGTCCCCAGGGTAATGTGATCATTCCTTGTGACCTTCTGAGAAGCAGAGTCAATGGAGAAGCCAGATTTAACAACCATGCTACTAACTTAACAACTGTAGTGATTCCCTTAACAACAAGAAAGATTGTAAAATGGGGAAAACTCACTTAACAACTGTCTTGCTTAGCAACATAAATTTTGGGCTCAATTGTGGTTGTAAGTCGAGGACTAGATGTACAACATATATTAAACTGTAATGCAAAATTTAAGATTAGTCCATTTATTTCAGCAAAATTACGGATCCATTATGAAAGAATTCAACAACTTTTGTATAACAAATTCATAATCTAATTATATCTAATTATAACAATTAATGCTCAAAGTCTCTCGCCCACCTGTTCTACATAAAAGGCTAGAAGGGAATTTCTTTGGAGCAAGAAATACAATTTCCATCTGTTTCTTCTTTTTTCTTCTCTGGGGAAGCTAGGTATTAAATTAGAATCTTCTTCACACATGAAGTCGATGTTCTGTCAATTAGTGGGTTATTTAAACTTAGCCTCTTAACCATTTTTATATATGTATGCATGAATGCATGCAAGCCTTCGAAAAAAAAAATCCCCCAGTTATAAAATGAACTATTACAAAAATGTTTTCTCAAAAAATAAATAAATAAAATTATACATATTGTTCCAAATGTGAATCCCAACAGCCCACCCCAAAATGTTAAGACAGCTTTTGACAATTGTCAGAAATATCAATATTTGATATCAAGTATATCAATAGTAATAATAATGGGATTAAAGCAAGCATCACATATTTTTTAAATACAGGAACTTCATTTTACAGACTACCCCCATCTTATTACTTAGAGTTAACTCAGTAGAAGGGATGTGGAACCCCTATTCAAAACCTCTTCTATTTTCCTGCTGACAAAGGGGTGGAAAAAAGATCAAAATATGTTAAAAGATTGTCAAAGCTAGAAGAGTGGTCTTATCACCAATTACTGCAGTCAGGAACAAACATGTACTTATCTTCTACTACAGCAGCTTTTTGTAGAAATCCATGGGCATTTTGAAAGCCCTTTGGCAATGCTGTTTATGATTTCTACCTCTAATCCAGGCAGTCTTTGAGTTACAACAGTTCATTTAATGACCGTTACAATGAAGTTACAACGTCACTGAAAAAAAGTGACTATGATCGTTTTTCATACTTATTGACCATTGCAACAATCTCCATGATCACATGATCAAAATTCATACCCTTGGCAACTGACTCATATTTATGGCGGTGGCAGTGTCCCGGGGTGGTCATCCTTTATGACCTTCTGATAAGCAAAGTCAATGGGGGAAACCACATTCACTTAACAACCAGGTTACTAATTTAACAATTTTGGCAAAATGGGGCAAAACTCACTTCACAACCATCTTGCTTAGCAGTTCAATCTGGGCTCAATTGTGGTCATAAGTTATGGACTATCTGTATTTGCCCACAAGGCACCTAATGCAGTGGCTATCAGTCCACGGCCTTTATGTCACAAGACTTTTAAAGACCAGCAAGGAACTCCCAAATTTCGCCATGGAATCATATTAGCTACCTCCTTGGAACTGAAATTCTGAGCCAGATCAATCCAATTCTGCTTCTTTTTATTTCTGCCTCTCCCTCCAGGGTGTGATCCGTCCTTCGTTTAGCTTTAAGCACAATTTAGTACAGATGCCCCAAACCCTTTCAGAACTACAGATGCTTTTGAAAAACAGCTGCCCTTCCCATAGAAATTCTGATTTACCAGAATGCTAAATGTTTCCTTTCTACAGCAGCAGCCCCCAACTTTTGTGGCACCGGGGACTGGTTCCATGGGGAGAGCTTTTTCCATAGATCGGAGGGGGCATGGCTTTGCATGTTGCCTGCATCCTGCGGATAGGGCTTAGCTTGTTTGCACAACCCTGTTTCTGGCATGCTGCGGCCAGGTGAAAGTCCATGAACTGGAGATTTTATTTTTATTTTTATTTTTTAATTTGATTTATATGCCGCCCTTCTCTGGAGACTCAGGGCGGCTTACAATGTGCTCAGCAATAGCCTTCATTCTTTTGTATATTTATACAAAGTCAGCTTATTGCCCCCACAACTGGGTCCTCAATTTACCTACCTTAGAAAGGATGGAAGGCTGAGTCAACCTTGAGCCTTGGCGAGATTCGAACCTGTAGTAATTGCAGGCAGCTGGTCTTAATAACCAGCTTAATAACAGGGTGCCTTAGACCACTGTACTACCAAGGCTCTTGCCTTGGTAGGACAAGGATTCAGGATCCTTGTAGGACAAGGATTCAGGACCCTTGTCCTACAGGTTACTTCCTACTGTAGTGACTGTTTTCAACAGCATTGAAAAACATAACTTATGACCAGCTTTCACACTTGCGACCATTGTAGCATGGTCATGTGATCAAAATTCAGATGCTTGGCAACTGGCATGTATTTATGACTGTTGCACTGTCCCAGGGTCACGTGATAACCTTCTGTAATCTTCCCAGCTGGCTCCCGACAAGCAAAGTCAATGGGGAAGCCAGATTTGCTTAACAACTGCAAGATTCATTTAATAACTGAAGAGATTTGCTTAAGGACTGTGGCAAAAGGGTCATAAAATGGGACAAAAGTCACTTAACAGCTGCCTTGCTTAACAACAGGAATTTTGGGCTCAATTGTGGTCATAAGTTGAGGACTATCTGTAGTGGCTTCCCATGTTTAAAAATATTTTAAACATGAGAAACCAGATACATAAGATCTCTACACATTAAAATAATATTTT